TCAAATGGATTATTCTCCTTTATCTTGTTGTGGTGCTCGAGTATTTTATAAATTCTAGATATAAGTCCCTTGTCTGACATGTCATTACCAAAAACTTTTCCCAGTCTGTGGCTTCTCTTTTTACCCTGTTAGAGAAGTTTCTGGATGCGCATAGAGTCAAGAAAATAAAGAGAGGGGTAAATAACTAAGTTTCTTGACCTAGTGAGTAAAGAAGTTGTACTGCTAATGCAAAGGCATTGGTTCGAATCTACCAGCTACTATGTAGTGGCAACGTGGGGAGAAGATGGACATTTTTCTCTCCTGTGATTTATAGCCTCTGAAAGCCTGCAGGAGGGTCAACTATGAGTCTATTCTGACTTGAGTGTACATAACAAGTTATTGATATATACTTGCAAACAGAAGAAAGGTCTTAAGGAACATTAGAGAGAGAATAGTGAGTTGAAATGAGAATATGGGGAAATGCAAATCAGTAACCCTTGAGTAGTAATGGTAGAGAGGGAAAATATTGCTTTTTAATATTCATACAACTTGAAATGGCTAATTTACCATTAATTAACTAAAATTATTCAATACATTCAAAAGCATGTTGTAGAAATTTTGAATAAAGATGCCCTGGTGAAATTTTTGAACAAACATTACTAAGTAGAAAATATTGGCATATTGTTTTTGTTGTGTACCGTTGAGTTGGAGTTGACCTATAGCTGACCCTCCAGTGGGTTTTCAGAGGCAGTTGATAGAATGGGAAGAGATTGGCCATTCTTTTCCTGCTGAGCAACTCCTGGATTTGAGCTGTGTGCCTTCGGCATTGCAGTGCAACTTCTTACAATTCAGCCACCAGTGCTCATTTAAACTGCTAACTGCTGTGCACTGCAGAAGGTTCATTGCCTTGATATAAAATTCTGTCTCTGTGACCTGGAACTCTTTTAAGCCTCTAATCCAAGATTACCAGAATGTCTTTTTCATTTGTAGAGGAGGTCCACACACCTTTCCTCTCTATATATTGTTAGGTTCACATACCTGAATATATAAAAAGGAGATGGATAAAAAGCAAGTAAGAAAACTTAAGGTTAGAAGATACAGAGAAAGAGGGAGAAGTAGATGGAGAAAATGTATTTTGTAGGTTTTAAAAAAAATTATAAAAGAATCAGTTGTTGCAAATGATGTAATGGTAAGCTAACATTTTAAAATTATGGATGTTGAGGTCCTTTAACTTCATATTTTCAAATTGCTTAAAATTTAATGTTTTGAATTAGCTTATGGGTTTCTGTTCTTTGAGAAGCAGCAAGAAATAGGATATTCTTCAGGATTCTTGACTTTCTTAGAATTGCAGGAAGGGCTGTGGTGCTTAGAATCTCTGGCTGTCCTAGTAATATATCTTTGGAGAAAGCATCTGGAAATTTACCCCTAGAACCCACGTCATCTTGTGTTTATTTGAATTTTACATGAGATAATCTTTGTTTTTCAGGTGCCTTATTCCCTAAGAATAATCCTTCGACAGTTGGGCTGGCTGTGTTCCTTGGTCTACTGATTGTTTCCATAGTGATCATCTTGGTTGTATGCAAGATTAAACTCAAGAAAGTTAGAAATGATAGAGGTTAGTGTGTGTGTGGAGGGTAGGGTAGGGGAGAAGCTGACATTATTTGTGAAGAAATCAGTAGGTGATGTAAAAACTAAAGCAATGAATAGGCATTATTGAGTATTTAATCCTTAATATTTGAATAGGAAGAGCAAGTCCATCTGTGTAGGCTTTGCTCTGCATGGGTGGATAATAGAGGCTGTCTGGTCAAGGCCAACCATCTCCTGAAAGTAATACCACATATATTTGGTTAATGGTATTTTGAAATTTCTGGGTCCTGAATCTGTTTCATTGTTCAATGATATCAAGTTTGTTGAGACTCATAGTGACCCTCAGAGTGACAGCAGCACTGAACTGGTTAATACTATTCTATCCTCCAATAGCTGCTGTGATTGAGTCCACTGTTGCAACCACGGTGTCACTTTATCTCAGCCAGAAACCAACATTTATTATTGAGCTCAGTGATGATTAAATGCCCTATGATGATTCTTTGTTAACTGGAATCCTGGGGTTAATTAGTGTACCTTTTTATATGATCAAAATTACAATGACAACCTTCTTTGGAGTTAGGATTGAAGCATAGACCAGTAACTAGAACATTTCCTTATGAATATCAAGCAAAAAAAAAAAGACAGTTCACACAGTTGTCACCTGGTCAGTGCATATTACAAATTCAATCTTAAGCTCAAACTCAAAATCATTGCCATCAAGAGGAAACTAATGCATAGCTGACCCTCCAGAAGGGTTTTGGAGGATAAAAAAATCAACAATAATCAACATTATGATAGATAGAAAAAAGATTGAAGCTGCCAACAATTTCATCTTACTTGGATCCACAATCAACACTTGGCACCAGCAGTTAAGAAATAAAAAGATTTTTTTATCATGTTGCATTGGAAAAGTTTGCTGTCAAGGATCCCTCTAAGGTATTAAGGAACAATGTCAGTTTAAAGACTAAGACCCATATGATTTAAGCCATGTTTTTTTCATAACTTATTAAACATTTGAAAGTTGGAGAATGAGTAAGGATGACAGAAGAAGAATCAATGCGTTTGAGCTGTCGTCTTGGAGAAGAGTACTGACTATCTCAAGAACTGCCAGAAGAAGAAACAAAAATGTCCTGGAGAAGGACAGCCAGGGTGCTCCTTTGAGTCAAGAATGGTAAATCTTTGCCTCATATATTTTGGAAATATTGTTAAAACGTGTGGTCCTTGGAAAATTATATAATGTTTGGAAAGGTGGAGAGTCGGTAAAAGAGGAAAGCTCTCAACAAGATGGACTGACGTAGTCACTGCAATAATCGTTATTATTATTATGTACCATTGAGTCGGGATAGACAGCTGCCCATCCAGTAGAATATAAGAGGCAGTTAGTAGCAATTCCTTGAAACTAAGCCACTAGAGCTCCCTGTATGTGACGATGGATTCAAGTATAGCAGAAATGATGAGGGTTGCACAGGATGGAGATCACTGAGTCATAGTTGACTTGACAGCACCTAATAACAACAAATTACACTGGAGGAGATTGCTCATCCCTCTCTCTTCAAGCTGCTGGTGGATAATAATTGCTAAAGAGGCACTGCCTTTGAGTTGACAGGGCAACTCCCTACAGACTATACAAAGAGAGCTCTCATAGGAAAGCCATGTATGACTTGCCTTTTTACTTCCACCCCACCCTTTCTCTACAGTATATATCAATTTCTCTGCTTCCCAATTTTATTGTTTTCTCCAAATAAGGCTGATGTCCTTGGCTTTAGAGTCCTTTATGTTTCCCTGAAGTCCATGAGTTCCTTGGACGAATTCTTCTGAAATATTTTTACCAGGGATGCATCCAGCCTGAAGAAGCTCTCTTGTTCAGTTTTATTATTTATTGTCTGACTTTTTTTTTTTCAGTTTCCAGTATCCTGAGGAAGACCTGCCTGCCAGCATGATTTAAATGACCAAGTTCTAATCTGTCCTGTATGAAGTTAAATTGACAAAAGTGGCAGTAAATTTGGTTTTTTATTTAGTTCTAAATTCAAAGTCCAACTTGGAGAAACAGGGCTCTGCTACCTGTTGCCAAATAACCTAGTCTTGAAGAGAGGGGTCAAAGTCGAAAAACAAGCAAACCACCAAACCCAGAAATTTCACTGACATGCATGCAAGTGAAAGGCAGGAACCTTGAGGTTCCCAAATTTGCCTCTCCCTTGTTACAGGTGAAAAGGATTTACAAAGTGGTGGGGGAAATCAGGGGTGAGAATTTCCACAGTGTCTTCTCTTGTCCAGATGTCTGGGCCTGGTGACAATTCTGGGCAAGTGTAGATTCTGTTTTGAGAGCCAAGACAGCTGATGCCTTCTAATGTTTTACAACCAAAAGGAGAGTAATTCCCCTGGTACAAAATTATAAGAGAATCCCCTCCAACTAATGAGTTCTTTAAATTATTTAGCAACTGGGTGAACAAACATGATAAACAGAGAAGGTAGGTTTAAAATTAAGAGAGAAAAGAAAGAAAAAACACAACCCCACCTTTCTTTCTTTTAAAAAATTATAAAAAGAAACATCTGTATTATTTAGACTATTTTGAGATATTCTTATTTATTCATTTGGTAATCAGCTCCTTATTAACTCTTTTATTAGCTCAAGCTGAAGCCTTTCCTACTTAAAGTGATGCAAAATGCTCCTTTAAGCTGCTACAGTGTATTTATTTGAAGAAGCTAGATTCCCCCTACCACAAATATATTAGAAGGTAGATATTTACTACTTTATCATGGTCAGATGATAAAAGATGAGCAAAGCTGAAGTGTAATGAGATGCATACAATTGTACTATAATATTGCTTTGTTACTTATCAGTCTGTACAATTCTGATCACTAATCAGTAATAAATTGCTATGGAGTTAAATCTAACTCATGGCAACCCTATGTATGCCAGAGTGGAAATGTACTCCATAGGTTTTTCTTTTTCTTTTTTTGCTATGGAGTTAAATCTAACTCATGGCAACCCTATGTATGCCAGAGTGGAAATGTACTCCATAGGTTTTTCTTTTTCTTTTTTTTTAAGTACAATTTTATTTTGTGATTTTAATGAACATTTACAGATAAGTTAGATTTTCATTTATTCATTGTGCGTTTTACTCCTTTACACACCCTTCCCCTTCCCTCAGTTCACTTTTTTAACAACAACAACAACAACAACAATTCATTCATTTTTTCACAATTACCTACCTCCGCCACCATCCCAGTCCTCTTTGCAGTGATATATCACTTATTCTGGGTTGTTGTTTAATGATATATTACTTTTAGACAGTTCTTTCTTTCATTTGTTCCAATACGATGGTTATTATCTGTCCACTCTTATCCTATTCTCCTCCCAAACCCCCATATCCGTCTTGCTTTAAATGGCACTATGCAGTATTTGTCCTGTTGTGACTGAGATATTTCACTCATCATAATGTCCTCCTGGGTCGCCCATGTTGTGTAATGTTTTATGAGTTTATTGTTTTTCAATGTTGCATATTATTCAATTGTATAAATATATCATAGGTTGTCGATCCATTCATTTGTTGATGGGCATTTGGATTTCTTCCACCTCTTTTCTACTGTAAATAGCCCAGTCTTTTTAACAAATGGTGTAGGCAAAATTGAAAAGCCATCTGTAGAAAACTCAAGCAATACCCACACCTAACACCATATAAAAAACTAATTCAAGGTGGATCAAAGACCTAGAAGTAAAACCAAAGACTAGAAATTTTATTAGAGAAAAGCTTTGAAGAATGAACTCTAGAAGCCCTAATCCACAGTATGAACAAGCTTTCAAGCTCTATAGGCTTTCAATGATTGATTTATGAGAAGTAGATTATTAGGGCTTTCGTAGCAGTTAGCTATGATTGAACTCAAACTTCTAATGTTTTGGTTAGAAGCATAATTTGTTAAGTAAGTGTTTATATTACTCAGGGACTCACATTTACTTAAATTAATTTATGTTACTATTAGGAGCTCTGGTGACCTAGTGGCAAGAAGCTGCACTGCAATCCCAAAGACTCCATTCAAATCCACCAGCTGTTCTGTGGGCTAAAGATGGACAATCTCTTCCTGTGCAATTAACTGCCTCTAGAATCCTGTGGGAGGGTTAACTATGGGTCCGTTCTGACTTTAAAGTACAAAACAACAACACATCTCTCAAAATGGTTCATAATGGGTGCACAGGGAGCAGAGGTGTTGAAATGTAATTCATCACATTAACAAAGGAAAGAACAAGAACCACATGATCCTATCAAATTATGCAGAAAAGGACTTTGACAAAATCTAATACCTGATTAAAACACTTAGCAAAATAGGAAGAGAAGGGAATTTCTTCAACATAGTAAAAAGTATAATAAAGTGGACTGGGGTGGCGGGGGGGACTGTATAACAATGAAATAATTTTTTTTCCAAAGAGAAAAGCTAATTGGGGGAGGGATGAGGTGGAGGAAAATGAGTAACAATGAATGAATGGAAATCCAGGTTCTCTAAAAACTTTCATTAAAATCTCAATTAAAAAAATTAGCCCTTCCCACAAAGTGGACTCTCAATCAAGAAATAGTTACTGAATTACTAGAGGGTCTCCCCCTCCTGCCCCAGTTATTTCATGAATATCCTGCAGGGAAACTATAGAAATTCAGTATCAGGTTATATGTAATCCAAGAATCATTGTAGTAATCATAAAGAGCAGTTATATTCTAATAATTTAGGTAATGCATATGATGAGGTAGAGTTCAGATTCCAGTAATCTGATTCAAATCAGCCCTCATATTTCCATAGGTCCAAAGCATACTATCAAATTTCTTAGAATTAATATTTCCCTTATTTTCTTTTTAGATAATATCCATGACAACTTTGGTAAGTTTTGTCTTTCTTTCATATTATCCTAAATTGAAAATATAATCAGTGTTTGCTCAACCCACTAATCTCTCTCTAAAACTGGTTGCATGTATGATGAATGGGAGTTCAACAAATTTCAGCAATCTGACTCAAATATTCATGATATCTCCAGGTTATATAATACTAAATTCTACCATGACATTTCTTGGAATTTAATGCCCTCTCTTTATTTTGTTTGTAGAGAAAGTCAATAAAGAACTTGGTAAGTTTTGTGTTTCATTCATATGCTAAATTGAAGATACAGTCTATGTCTATGTCATAACTTATCTCTCTCTGTGATTGGTGGTAGAGAGAAGAAAACTCTTGGGAAAAGAGGGTAAGTAATATTGATTTTCATCTTGATAAAATCTTTGTCCTGCTCAGTCATTCAGTTAATATCAGAATTCTCTATTTGATTATAGGTCTGGATAGAGTTCGACAATATGCAGGTAAATAGGAAGTGACTAGTAAGCGGTAAAAAATTACTTTATGATTGACAATCAACAACTTTGTAGTTCTATCATAAAATAATATTTTTATAGATAAAGTTCTATATGATACTTTTTAACTAATAAAAGAATCTGAATCTGATTATATGAACCTTATAATTAAATATAAACTAACAGGTCACGTGAGAGATATCATTTGACTGAATGTTAGAAAACACAGCTTTATAGGAATGTAGAAACTATGCAAAGCTATAGATATGTGGCCATAATATGATACAATGAGATTATTATTCTGAAATGTAGGGGATAGATCAATCCAAAATATATATTCACTTTTATCATATCAATACCATAATGACAAAGATTTTACAAAGCCATTGTAAAGCAGAGATTTTGTTTTCTGTTCTTTCTCTTCTCTTCTTGAAATCATATTTCTTTTATCTTTATGAGATCATAACCTTTAGCATAAATTTTTTGCTGATATTAAAAAAGGAAAGAATAACAAGCTCTCTTAACCTAATTTGTCTATGCAATTATCACCATAGTTTTTTTATTTTATAGTAAAACTCTCCAAAATAGTTTTTTTTTCTCATTTGTATTCTCTCATATATCTATTGATTATTCTGATAAAAAACAAAACAAAACCCCAATCCTGAAAGTTATCATCTCAATGGTCCTCTATGGTCCTTCATTCGTCCTCTCTATTTTTTTAAATATCTGACTATGTCTTCTTCTACTCTCCTTTTCCCCTCTTCTCCAGTTTTACAAGCCTCCTTTAAAATATTGGACATGCTTCTGCCTCAATGTTTTGCCCTTGACATGGCCTCAGATTATTATATGTTATGCTTTCATTCTTCATGTTAGGCCTGTTAGTCCTCGTGTAATTATGAAATAAATATTGATATTTAGATTATTGGTAAAGATATTTCACTGTAATTAGTTTACCAGTAAGTTTCAAAGTTAAGACAATTTGGAAGTTTTCTCCCAAGAATAGAGTTTCAGATTTATGAGTTGAGTGGCACCATAGATGTTGCCATAATTATGATATTAATTTCATTTTCTTCTCTGTATATTTAAAGACTTGTTTTATTTCTCCTGTTTTGATCTCTCCCTTCAAGGCTGAAAGGTCTTTTCTTACAATTTGTGCTTAATTGTTCTTCTTATTCCTATGCAGAAGACATAATCCTGGATAAAGACACTGCTCATCCTTATCTTCATGTGTCAGATGATGGAAAAACAGTGACATCTTTGCAAGAAAAGCGGGTCGTGTCTGACATTCCTGAACAATTTGATACTATGGTGGCTGTATTAGGTCAGAACACCTTCTCTAATGGTGATCATTATTGGGAGGTCAGTGTACAGGGAAAGAACAGGTGGACAATAGGATTGTGTGTGGCCTCAATTAACAGGAAAGGACAAGATATATCTGCTCATCCTAAGAATGGTTTCTGGACACTTTGCCTGAAGAATGGTGTTTATAAGGCCCTTTCTACTCCTCATTCTACCCTTCAGGTTCCAGAACACATTTCGACTGTGGGAATTTTTCTGCAGTATGAAAAAGGTTTGATATCTTTCTACAATGTGACAGATTTTACCATTCTTTATATATTCAAAATAGAATCCACTGAAAAACTGAAGCCATATTTCTACCCTGGACCTTATAGTGAAGAAAACAGTGCTGGACTTACTCTCCTGAAGATATCACCAACAGGGAGTGAGTTACTTTCTGGAAAAGACTAAGATATATTTCTGCAGGGGTCAACTTCATGGACCATAATAACATACAGCAATTACTCAGTCAGGACACTGTAAGTCAGAAGTTGCAAAAGCAGTTCCTTTGTGGCCTTGTTGGGAATGAAGAATATCTCTCTTACTGGAAAATTATTACTGCTCATCCCAACAGTCCTTCCTCCTTTAAGAAGGACTTCCTTTTTTCTCTGCTGTTCCTAAGAAACTAGTTAGCTACTTCCTAATTACTGTTTTTCCTTTCTCAATATATGTTTTTCTTGTTGAGGTGTTGGAGTATTCTACAAATTTTAAATATGAACCCCTTATCAGATATGTCATTACAAAATATTTTTTCCCAGTCTGCAGATTTTCTTTTACCCTATTGGAGACATTTTTGGATGTGCATAGGGATTTGATTCTTACTAGGTCCCATTCATCTATTTTATTCTCTCCTGTTATAGGTTTTCAAGATGTGTGGAAGACTGTTCATAATGTGGGTTAGGGCTTCTACAGTTCTTCCAAGCTTTTATCTCATGAAATTTATAGTCCTTGGTTTTAGTTCTAGGTCCTTGCTCCACTTTGAGATGATTTTTATGTATGGTGTGAGGTGTGGATCTTGCTTGAGTTTTATGCAGATAGTTTTCCAATGTTGCCAGCACCATTTATTAAAGAGGCTTTATTTCTCCATATAAACTGATTTTATCTCCTTGTCAAAAATCAGTTGACTATAGGTAAATGAGCTGATTTATGGGTTTTCAATTCTATTCCATTGATCTATGTGTCTTTCACTATACCAGTACTACACTGTCTTGACCACCATGGTTGTTTAGTAAGATTTGAGATGCCTCATTCCTTGTTTCTCTTTTTTCAGGAGTCCTTTACTTATTCTTTATTCAAGGGTCTCTTTCATTCCAGAGGAAGCTGGAAATAACATTTTCCATGTTATTGAAAAATGGAATTTGTGTTTGTATTGGGATTGCCTTTAATAGAATTATCGTTTACACAATATTGAGTCTTCCTATCTATAAGCTTGGTATATTCTTCCATTTTTCCAGAACTCTTTTTGTTTCTTTTAGTAATGTTTTGTAATTTTCTTTGTAATAAATCTTTTTTGTTTCTAGTTACATTTACTCCCAAGTATTTAACCTTGTGGTTAGCTATTATAATGGGCATTGTTTTTCTTAGCCCCATTTCTATAAGCTCTCTGTCACTGTAGAGAAATCCAATTGATTTTTGTATATTGATCTTGTATCCTGCCACCTTGGTGACTTGCTCCACTGTATCCAATAATTTTCTTACTGAGTCTTTAGGGTTTTTTAGTTGATCTATCATGTCATCTGCATATAGAGATAATTTTACCTCCTCTTTGCCAATTTGGATATCTCTTATTTCCTTCTCTTATTGCTTTCACAAAGACTTCCAATATGATATTAAATAGAAGAGGTGATAGTGGGCATCCTTGCCTAGTTCCTGTTCTCAAAGGGAATGCCTTTAATCTCTCTCCATTGAGAACAATGTTGACTCTTGGTTTTGCATAGATATTTTTTACTATGTTGAAGAAATTTACTTCTATTGCTATTTTGTTGACTATTTTAATCAGTAATGGGTGCTGGATTTTGTCAAAGGCCTTTTATGCATCAATTGATAGGATCATGTGGTTCTTGTTCTTTGCTTTGATAATGTGATGCATTACACAGATTATTTTTTTTGTATGTTGAACCATCCTTGCAAACCTGTTATGAATCCCACTTGGTCACAACCTAATTGCAAAATGGGCACAGGATATGAATAGATACTTCACCAAAGAAGACATTCAGATAGTAAATGAACATAGGAATAAATGTTCAAAATCCCTAATTCTCAGAGAGATGCAAGTCAAAACAACTATGAGATATTATCTCACTCCGTTAACAATAGCAAAGTTCAACAAAATAGGAAACAACAAATGCTAGCAAGATTGTGGAGAGATCAGAAGCTTATTCACTGCTGGTGGGAGTGTAAAAATTTGCAACCACTATGAAAGGTGAGTTGATGTTTTCGAAGAAAACTATAAATAGAAATATCATTTAATCCAGAAACTCTACTACTAGTAATATACCCTAAAGAAACCGGAGCTTCCGCCCAAACAGATAAATGCATACCCATGTTTATTGCTGTGTTATTTACAATAGCAAGGAGATGGAAGCAACCTAAGTGCCCAAACAAATGGATAGAAAAACGATGGTATATTCACACAATGGAATACTACACAGCACTGAAAAATGAGGAACTCATAAAATAGTACACAACATGGGTAACCCCGGAGAATGCTATGCTGAGTGAAATCCCAGTCACAAAAGGACAAGTACTGCATAATACCACTGTTATAAAACAGGACTGACATAGGGGTTGGGAGGAAACAAGGAAAAGAGAGGATAAGTAATGAACACTACACTGGAACAGAGGAAGGAAATAACTATTTAAAAGGCATATATGATTAGGCTTGGTTTGTATGACAACAGTCCAGAATAAGAAGTGCATAGCAAAACCGACTGGGAGGGGTAGGTGGAGAGGGAGAAAATTATGTAACAATGAAATAATATCTTCTGAAAAAATATGAACTGGGAGGTAGGGAGGAAAATATATAACAATGAATGAATGAATGTAAATCCAACTTTCTGTAAACTTTTGTTAATATCACAATTAAAAAAAAAGACAAAAATGTGATTTCTGAGATTGATTTCTGTTCCACCAATAAATTACAGTTTCTCCATCATTTTTATAGCTTTCAGTCTGCCAAAATCAGTGTCTTATATATACTTGGACCAAGAGGCAGTCGTCAGAACAGAGCAGGGCAACAGTGCATGGTTCAAAATTGGGAAGGGTGTACGCCAGGGATGTGTCCTGTCTCCATACCTTTTCAACCTGTATGCAGAGCAGATTATCCGAGAGGCTGGGCTCTATGAGGAGAAGCGTGGCGTTAGGATTGGTGGATGATCTATCAACAATCTGCGTTATGCAGATGACACAACCCTGGTCGCTGAAACTGAGGAGGACCTCATGCACTTACTGCAGAGGGTCAAGGACTGCAGCCTTCAATATGGACTGAGGCCCAATGTCAAGAAGACAAAGATTCTCACCACTGGACCAATAGGTAGCATCAGGATGGATGGTGAAGAGATTGAGATTGTTCACAGCTTCAGTTTGCTCGGCTCCACAGTCAACACTCTTGGCACCAGTAGCCAGGAAATAAAAAAATGTATTGTGATGGGAAAGTCTGAGGTTAGGGACCTCTCTAAAGTACTCAAGAGCAACGGGGTCTCTCTGGAGACTAAGGTGTGCCTGATACAGGCTATGGTTTTTGCAATCACTTGTTATGCATCAGAGAGTTGGACAATGACCAAGGAGGATAGAAGGAGAATTGACGCCTTTGAGCTGTGGTGCTGGAGAAGAGTATTGAATGTACCATGGACTTCCAAGAAAACAAATAAATTCATCCCAGAGAGGGTTAAACCAGGCTGCTCCTTGGAGGCAAGGATTCTGGGGCTTCGCCTGACATACTTTGGACATGTTGTAAGGAGAGACAGGTCTTTAGAGAGGGACATCATGCTGGGCAGAGTGGAGGGACAGCGCAGGAGGGGAAGACCCTCTATGAGGTGGATTGATTCAGTGACTGGGGTAATCGGGATTGGCGTGTCAGAGGCAATGAGATTGGCACAGGATAGAGCAGGGTTTAGGGCTGTTGTACATAGGGTCGCTATGAGTCGCAAACGACTTGACGGCACATAACAACAACAACAACAACAACAATATATACAATACTATACTGAAAATATTGAATTGAGCAAAATGGAATGTTATCAACTAACAGACTGATTACAAAGTCATTTTCTTGCAGTGTCCATACATATCTCCTTTCCCTGTGCTCCTTAAGTCACATGGCTACAATAGTGCATCTGAGAAACAGTCCATGCTATTTTCCTTTAGAGTCTTTATTACTAAACATTATGTTAGTCTATTCTCTCTCTATATATAATCAAAAGACAAATTACATTGGAAAAATCTGCTGTCAGATACCTCTTTAGAGTACTGAAAACTAGCAACGTCAGTCTAGAGACTAAGATGCACCTAACCCAGGTCATGGTTTTCATCATTGCTTGCTATTCAACAGAGAGCTGGACAATGACTACAGAGAATAGAAATGTTGATGCCTTGGGGCTGTGATTCTGGAGAACAGTCTTGAACATACCATGGACTGCCAAAAGAATAAATAGAACTGTCTTACAGAGGGTAAAACCAAGTTGCTCCTTGGAGGCTAGGGTTTTGAAGTTCTGTCTCACATACTTTGGGCATGTGTTCCTGGAGAAGGACATCATGGTTGGAAGGACGGAGGGACAGTGTAGGAGAGAAAGACCCCAGACAAGACGGACTGATACTGTAACTGCGGCATTGGGTGTAGGTATGTTGGAATCAGTGAGATTGGCTCAATATAGGGCAGGCTTCAGAGCTGCTGTATGTAGGTTTTCTCTGCATCGCAGGTGACTTGAGGGCACACAACAACAACAACATATGTATATACTTTATATATATTATAAAACAACCATAAAATGGCTGAAATTAAAAAAAAAAACACAACTAACAACATCCAAACCCACCACAGGGAAAAAACCCAAAGAAGCCAGCAATGTCGTAGATCAAGTTGTTGAACACACACATATTGTTGGTGAGAATAAAAAATGGTTAACCTCAAGAAAAACAGTTTCCTATCAAACTTAAGCATGCAGTTTGACATTGTTCTGACAAAACTAGGCCTATGATAAATTTGTAGTTAGCAATATCACTCCTAAGAATGCGACTCATAGTGACCCTATGCCCTAAACTCTGCCCTATCTTGTGCCAATCTCACCATCTCCAACACACCTATCCCCATAATCCCAGTCACTGAATTAATACATCTCATCGGGGGTCTTCCTCTCCTACATTGTCCCTCCACCCTCCCAAACATGATGTCCCTCTCCAACGACTGGTTCTTC